TCTGTAGGTAGTTACATATCAAATTCTTGAATTGGGCAGAGGTCTAGACTGGTGATTTTGTAAGTTTCCTTTGTGCAATTTTATTATTGTTCTTGAATGCCTTTGTCTGATTCCCAATTACGCTATTTAGTTTGGTATTTATTTCTGTTCCACTATGTATGTGATACAAAGAGCATTACTGGTTCAATAACAGAAAAATTAGAGCTTTCTAAGCCATAGTGTCTTCACATATACAGTAAGGAGTTTATCTAACACATAGCATTCATTTGTGTCAGGTCCTAAACTAAGCACTTTATACAAAAAAACCCACTTAATTCTCTCACAGCAACCTGTGAAGTAGGCACTGTTTTTATGTCCATTTTTTAGCTGCAGAACCCAAGAAGTCTTGGCCAAGGTCAAACATGGTGTTATTCCAATCCCTGCTTTCAGTCTAAAGTCTCCACGTTCTTAACCATTACTCCAGACTTTTCTGTAATGCACAGGATAATTCTGTCAGATAACAGATGTCTGCTTTGCAAGCTGTAAAATGCCACAAAAATGTGAGATCCATTTTGTTAGTGGACATAAAGAAAATGATACAGATATGTTTAAATAGTGAAAAGAGGGAAATAATAAAGCTTAAGTGATTTGGGTGAACAGCGATCTACTCCACCTCAAGGAAAATGTATAAAGAACTAACTTATTTCTAAATCATATACAATCTACAGTACCTGGCACATAGTAGGCACTCCATGAATATCTGTTGAGCTGTTGTTTCTGCTGGAATTGGCCCCACTGTTTTTTTTTATTCCTGCCGAAACCAAAGATAGCAGACCTTCCTGTCACACTATAGGGATTTGTGTCTAATCATTTTTGTCCATGCTTCTTCCCAGTCTTCCTTTTAAAAAACTAAGAGATAACTAAGCACTGTGAGGGAAATGCTGATGTTTATTGTTTGGTGGTTACAGCTACTGTAAATTACATCTTTTAAAAATTAAAATTTCCAAGACATTATTTCTGGTGTATAGAAATGCAACTTCCTGTTTAAAACCCACTTTATTATTTTGGCATAATTTTAGATTTACAGGAAAGTGGCAAATATAATACAGAGTTCCTGTATTCCATCCCCCAGATTCCCCTAGTGCCATCTTACATAATCACCGGACATACATCAAAATGAAAAAGTCAGCGCTGGTACATTATCATTAACTAAAGTTCAGACTTTATTCGGATTTCACCAGATTTTCATTACTGTCCTTTTTCTGTCCCGGGGTTCCATGGAGGGTCCTGCACTGCATTTAGTCATCCTGTCTCCTTAGTTTCCTCAGGCCCGTGGCAGGTTTTTGGGGGTTGTTTTTTTTTTTGTTTTGTTTGTTTGTTTTGTTCATTTGTTTTTTACCTTGACAGTTTTGAGGAGTACTTGTCAGGCATTCTGTAGAATGTCCCTCAATTTGGGTCTGTCTGATTTTTTCTCATGATTAGATTGGGGTTATGAGCTTTTGAGAAGAAGAACAAGGAGGTCAAATGTCCTTCTTATTGCATCATCTCAGTGAGTACATGATGTCAGTCTGATGGAAGTAGCGATGTGAACCTTGGTCGTTTGGATAGGATGGTATCAGCCAGGTTTCTCCAATGGAAAGTTACTGTTTTCATTCTCTATTCTTGAAAATCAAGTAATCAGTATGTAAAAGGAGGGGGACCCCAAATCCCCCGTAATTTATTGATAAAAAATTGTGTATTTATCCATACATGTTTGAACTTCAGTCACCTTCAAAGTACTCTCCATTTGATGTAACACACCTATCAAGACATTTTTTCCACTGCTCAAAAGTTTTTGAATTAGTCGATTTTGATACCTTTTAGTACTTCTGCCATTTTTTGTTCCACTTATTTCACATTGGCAAAACATTTCCCTTTGAGGACTTTTTTTCATCTGGGGAAAAGGAAAAAGAAGTGGCTGGAGGCGAGATCAGGTGAATAGGGAGGGGAGGGTATGGGGGTCATGCTGTTTTTGGTCAAAAACTGCTGAACATTCAGTGCAGTGTGGGCAGGTGCCCTCGTAAATCACCCATCATGAAATGGGCAAATGGGTTGAAAGAGTTCAAAAAAATTTTTTTTTTGCTGAAGCCAAACACAGCGTCCTACAACACCACCAGCTGGTACACTGATAGTGATGAGTTCCTAGAACACTCACCTACTGGGGGAAGCCTGTGCTACCAGGTGCCGGCCCTCCAGAAGATAATTCCAGTTTCTGGGGGGTCCCCCTTCATATTTGAGTGTTATACACAAGGGCCCACATTCAGCACTGAAGGCGACAAGTGGAACTCTTGAACACATGGTCGTCATGCTGAGATTTCATGAATTTGCGGTTCAGTGGGTGTCTATAATGGTTGTCTCAGTCTTGGTAGTGGTGGTGGTGGTGGTGGTGGTGGTGGAAAGGCAAAGGAGTGATGAGGCTCAAGACAGGCAGGACAGGCGCATGGTAGTTCCATTCCTATTGCTCAGTCCACTTGGCCTTCAAAATCTACTCCTTCATTCAACAAGAATTATTCAAGTGCCCACTGCATGCCAGGTACTATTTTAGGTGCTGGGAATATGGCAGTGAAGACAACACATACAGTTCCATCTCCTCATGCAGTTGTAGTTTAGTGTGGAGACAAACACATGAGTAAAACATGTGACCTGTTAAATAAGTGCCAGGAGAAAAATAAAATAGGGCAGGGTACTAGAAGTTGTGTACACCAGTGTGCTTGTATCACTGGAGGGGGTGGTTTGGGGGCTGGTTTGAAGTTTTCAACAGTGTGCTAAGGGAAACCTCAGCAAGAAGGTGACATTTAAGTCAAGACCTGTGAGTCAAGAGTGTGAGGGAGGCAGCCATGTGGATGTTGGGGGTAATAGCAATCCAGGCAGAGGAAACGGGAAATGCAAAGGCCCTGAGGCGGGACGTCTGTGTTCAAAGAACAGTGAAAAGGAGGCTGGTGAGAACGAGGAAGAGTGGAGTGGTAGGAGATGAGGTCTGAGACTTCAGAAGTAGTAGAGTTTTGTAGATCAAGGAAAGGACTGTAGTTTTTACTCTGATCAAGTGAGGAAGCCATCTGAAGAATTTTCACCAAAGGGGTGACTTGATCTAATCTTGGCAGAGGGGTTGACAATAGATTGTGGAGAGTAGGGGCACGGGTGTGAACAGAAGAGTAGGAGAGAAATATGGAGGTTCGGACTGTAGCAGTGAAGTGGTGGGGAGGGCTCAGATTCTGGGTGAAGGATTCATGATTGAGAGGGAGGTAAAAAGAGATGAAAGAAAACCTCTCTGAATTTATAGTGGTAAAATGTAATTTTCTCATTAAAAAAGTCACTTTACAACAACAAAACATGACTGGGTTTAAAAATGGGCAAAGGACTTGAATAGACAATTCTCCAAAGATAAACAAATTGCCAACAAGCACATGAAAAGATGCTCAACATCACTTATCATTAGGAAAATGCAAATCAAAACTTCATACCCATTAGAATGGCTACTGTCAAAAATACAGAAAATAAATGTTGATGGAGATATGAAGAAATTGGAACCCTGGACACTGTTTGTGGGACTATCAAATGGTACACATTGTGGAGATTCCCCCAAAAGAAAATCAAAATTAGAATTACCACATGATTCAGCAATTCCACTTCTGGATATATATCCAAATGAATTGAAAGTATAAATTGAGTTGGTTCTCCTTACAGTACTATGAATAAAAAAGCCGATTTAACAAATCATAGGTTCATAGAAAATCTCTAGTTTTGTGGTCTATTTTCTCTAATAATAGGAAATGAACTTTCAATAAAAGTACATAGGGACCTAGAGCAAATGGTTTATTTTTCACAGGACTTAAGTGCAGGTGGAAAGGGGCAATTTCTAGAATATTTGGAGGATCTGAGTAAATGAATTTCTACCTAAGCTACTGATTTACAATGACTGAAAAGAGATCACGTGTCTCCTACAATGGAGTTCCAAATTAAGTGTAAGAGAAGCTCAGGCAGAGAAAATATATGCAGAAAAATTTTTGGTATTATACCAAAGCTAACCAACATTTAAAATATTTTTTTCTCTTGCATTAACTATCTGAGTGTTAGAAAAAATGACACTTCTCCCACCAGTTTATACAAAATTCAGCCCCCAAAGTAAAGTGGTATGAGCGCCTTCATTAGAAAGAGATAAAGGACAAACCTACACTTGCAATTTTTAAACAAATGTCTGTACAGGCATCATAAATCAACAAAATTACACACTTTAAAACTCAAGGTTAACAAGACACTAAAGAAATAACCAAGGGTTATTTCTACTGCCTGTGACATCACCGATTGAGTAAACATTGCTATCTACTTCACAATTTATGGGCTAGACCGATATTTTTTGCCACGGTTTAGTAAGAGAGGATGATGTCACTACTGCAGCTGTCTCCAGGCAGTTAAAACTCTGCATTTCAGTCTGATATTTCCAAGCACTCGTGGGGTAAAAAACCTCACTGAAAGAGCCACATAAGCTTTGCTAATGTGGGAGAAAGTTGACATGCCTCTGGATATGTGACTCGGAAGAAGGAAAAGGTAACAACTAATTTTTTTATTATTATTTTTAGTTTTTGCCTTGCTCTTGCTGAGTTGGTGCGCAAACCCCAAAGAATGTTTTGGTTCAAGGCTTGACAAAGTCAGGAGAAACAAGAGCAGCAGCTCTGGCTTTTTGAGACTTCTGTAAAGACAGTGTGCAGTTCTCAGCAGCCATTGGTTTACGATGGACTACAGCGCTGGTTCAGTTTCCTCCTTCGTTTGCTAGATGTTTTCTCTTCGTGTCTCGTACGAGGGTCGAGAAACAACCCGCAGTAACTCAGTGGCGCGGACGGTCACTTGACGACTTCGGGTTCTCGCAGGGGGTCAGACCCCGTTTGCACCCTCCTTCTCGCCCACGTGCCCAGCGCTCTTCCCTCGGGTACCGCCCCCCTCGCACGCGGGGGCGGGGCCGGCTGGGAGCTGCCCTCTTCCAACATGGCGCCGCAGGAGGCGGGTTCTGCTCGCCGGCTCTGATGGTTCCGGCGCTGAGCATTTTGGTTCCGGAGTAACTGTGCTCTCGCTGCCGCCTTTCTCCCTCTCCTCCCTTCGCTGCCGCTGCCGCTGCCGGGACGCAGGGCCTCGGGCGGCCGGGGCTGAGCCCGCGTGCGCTGCGCCCTGTGGCTCGGCTTGGGGCAGAGGGCTCTCGCGATCCTCCCGTGGAGGGTCTCCCACCCTTGGCGTTCTCGTATTCTGGCGGCCCCGCGGCTTCCTCCTAACGCCTTGGACTGAGTCCCCTTCAGTCTGGGATATCCCCCCGCCCGGTCACCCTCCAAGGAGGAGTGGATACCTGCCGTTGTATTCCCCTAAAACGGGGGTTTCTCTCTGCCGATTCCTCACACCCACACTGACGGCCGAGAGCTGCACTGTCCCGTTTTGCCTTTTTTTCCCGACTCTAGGACCTCTTGACCTCGGCTAGTTACTACTGCTCCCTGCCCCTAGCCCCGTCCACGCTCACTAGGGAGACATCCCACAACCCCATACAGCCTGGGCCTGGGTCGGCGCCTGCGGGCCCCTTCTTGATCACTCCACCTTTCTGATACCCCTCACCCTCTGTCCTCTTACCCTCGGTCCGCTTGTCACCCCTTGGAGCCTCTGCCTAATCAGGGGCCATGGATACCCCCTACCCCCCGATGTGAGCCCCTTTAACCTGTAATGCTGTGGCTGGCCTTTGGCCCCTTTCATACCATGGAGAACCAGGTGCTGGTGATTCGCATCAAGATCCCAAATAGGGGCGCGGTGGACTGGACAGTGAACTCCGGGCCGCAGTTACTCTTCAGGGATGTACTGGTGAGTGTTAATTTTAGAGTCCAAATCTCAGCGAGCAGGGCGCAGGGACTTGTGGAGTAGTCAGCATCTGATTCTGGTGGCCTCAGGGCAGTGGCCTGGCCACTCCTGGCTTCCTACGGGGTCAGATTTATTGCTTCAGCCACATGCATTGATTAGTTGTATGGGCTGAAATCTGGCAAATGTGCAGGGCCCTGGGGAAACAGAGATGATCAGATTGAACCCCTGCTCTCAAGTAGCTCACAGCCTGGACTGGGACATAGGCACAGAAGTACCCAACTGGGATGCAAAAAGCAGAGTCTAGAAGAGTTTTTCTCCAAGTGTTTTCTTGGAATGTCCCTGGCCAGATTCCAGCCATATCTTTCCATTGAGTTCCCTGAACTTGGTGACCAGCAGGAAAGGGAAACAAGGCAGCTGTACTCTATCATGTTTCATCAAACGTAAGGTGCTGTTGGTTTAAAGATATTCTTATATACTACTAAGAAAAAAACGCTGCCCATTGAACTGTGACGTGCCACACATTGTACAAAAACAGCCTGATTTCCCGGAGATATTAGAGAAGGGGGAAATGTGCACTTTCGAATCAGCGATGCATCCTTGCTTTCATAATAAATACTCGTGGTGTGTTTGAAACAAAATCATGGAATTCGAGAGCAAGGTGTAACCTGCTTGGAGGTGACTTGTTGAGCCCTCTTATCTTTTTTGTAGATAGTTACTGAGGAGCAGTGAGGTGAAATGACTTTTCTAAAGCTCTATTGCTTGTGAAGTTAGCAATTAGTACCAGAGCTCAGATTTCCTCCCTCTTACTTAGTATTTATTTCCACATACTATAGTGCCCTTCTCATCTTTTGGCATTCATTTGAGGCAGACGGTGTATTGTGCCTATTTTATTCAATAACTGAGGTATCAAGGGCAGAGCTGAGATACCAAGAAGCACATTGCAAGTACCAGATCTGTAGTGGAACTTACTTGCCAGATAAGATAGGGCTGGGTGGAGTTGCTTGATGGAGGAAGGTATGTGATGTGATTTTTGGCTGTCAGAGGTTACCCAGTCAACTTTTGATTCCTGTACCTTTGTTTTGAGTTCTGGATGTTACAGACCGCCGGATTTTTGGTGTCTGGGCCAGGCATGCAGGGGCTAGGGTAAACCAGCAGCCTCTACTCCTGGACACCAAATTTCATCCTCTTTGCACCCAGAGTTCTCTACACTTACAAGCACATAGGTTTTCCCTCATGATAAGGTCCAGACTCCTTAATGTGGTCCTCTGGGCCCATCTTGATTGGCTTATGCTTGCCTGGCACCAGTGTCATATCTCATCACAGCCCAGTGAGCATTTTGAGCTCCAGGCATGTAGAGTTAACCTTGAGTTCTCCTAGATGCCCACTCGGCCCTTCTTCACCTGGCCAAATCCTACCTATCCACAGCCCAGCTTCACTTTTCCTTCACGTTAGTCTTGGGTACTTGCCCTTTTCCTGTGTTCCCACAGCTTTGTTCTGGCAAAGCACATAGGTTATATCATAATTTTGTCTCTCTCCTCCACCAGATGGTAAATTTTGGAGGAGATGGCCATCTTTGGTTCTCTGTTTCTGGTGCTTCATAGGACACCAAAATATTTGTTAATGAGGGAGCTTCAAAGAGGATGCATGCAATTATGGTTTTGTGGGCGGCACACTAAGTTCTGAATTTTAAAAAATTGGGTTTAAGGCAGAGGTGTCAAACTCATTTACCGGGGCGGGGATCCACATCAGCCTTGAGGTTGCCTTCAAAGGGCCGAGTGTAATTTTAGGACTGTATAAATGTAATTACTCCTTAACTAGGAGCTAGGAGCTCCGCGCTGCTGCCAGGTGGAAACAAGGTCCCGGGCTGGATAAAACAAGGTGGAGAGCTGGACTTGGCCCTCGGGCCTTGTGTTTGCCACCTGTGGTTTAAGGGATTTCCAATCTTTTGGTGTCTCTGGGCCATACTGGAAGAAGAGTTGTCTTGGGCCACACATTAAATACACAAACACTAATGAAAACTGATGAGCAAAAAAAAAGGTTTTAAGTAAATTTACAATTTTGTGTTGGGCCATGTGCATAGCCATCCTGGGCTGCGGGTTGGACACCCCTGGAAGGCAAGCAGCTCCACCTTTCTGAGCCTCAGTTTCCTTGCTTGTAAAATAGGGATGATGATACTTGCCTCAAAGACTTGTGAGGATCACGTGAGATTGTTTCTATGATGAGGGGAACGTGAGATTTCTTTTACGTATTTGAGATACCAGAAGTTACCAAGTAGAATGGTACCATGTTTAAAAACAAACTCTGGAGGCAGACTTCGGGGTCTAAATTGCTAGTAGCCCTATCAGACTCATTTGGGCAAGTGTTTTCTGTGTCTCAGTTCTCAGTTTCTTCTGTTATGGAAAAGAAAAGGGACTGGGAGTATAGAGATAGTGCCTACCTCACAATTCTGAGGACTACTGGAGTTGATACATGTAACAGCACTTAGAACAACCCGGAACGGAGTAAGTGCTCTGTAGTGGTGGGGTCAGGACATAAGGGGTAGGGCCTGGATCTTCTGCGTCCCAAGCATCTCTCTGTTGTACTTTGGCTCAAGGCTGACTGGCCTACAAGTAAACTTTGCACAGATGGTCCCACCACCTAGAGCAGAATGTCGTGTGTCCCACACACATGCTCAGGGAAGCACAGGTGCGGCAGGCTCTGTCAGGACAGCCTGCTGAAGGGCTTGTGGCAGTGGGTGCGGCCCTGTCTCCTCGTGCTCCTTAAAGTTCTTTGAACTCAAAGCCCAGATCCTGGAGGGCTCCTGCGATCTGTTCTCCAGGTTCATCTCATCTCTGCCTCAAGAAATTGGCAAAATACCACCAGATACATCAGCAGCTCTGGCCTGGAACTTGACAAATTAAAGCCAAATCAACCTGAAAGCATCCCCTTCCTCTAACAAAACCCACTTCACCCCAGTTTTCAAGTGAGAAAGCATGCACCCCGGAGGGGGAAAAGGCTAAAGTCACACAGCTAGATTTTGGCAGAACTAGACACAGAAGCCAGAAACAAAAATTGTGGTCATTGAGTTAACTGTAACAGATTATTTTGGGACAGAAGTCAGTAGTTGGGGGCTCCAGTCACAGCTGCGTCAAATAGCTGGGAGACCCTGGGCGAGTCACTTGGCCACTTTGGGCCTGTGCCCTTTGTCTGAATTAATTAGGGACTGGCTGCAATGTGAAGTAGACCTAGCTGCTGCTCAAGGGCAGAAACATTTGGGTTATCTGTTTTTCAGCTTCGTGTGCTTTTCTTCTTCCTTGGAGACAGAGCCCACAGTTCTGGGAGAGTTGTGCAGGAGTTCTGAACCTCCTGAACTAGGGAGTGGTAGGAAAGCATGTCACCCCTTTCTGCTTGCTGTTCGCATCCTGTCTCCCAAGTCCCAGCTCAGATTGCCCGCATCTGTGTGAAATTCTGTTTACGCTGAGTCTGATTTGCCTTCCTCCGGAGTTAGCAAATACTACTTGCTACTTATATGTATTTTTTGTTTGGCTGTTATCATACTGTAAGTACTCTGGATTGTTAGTGTTCTAGGTTTGTTTGTCTTTATCTCTGTGACCAGATTATAATCTTGTAATCTTCCTAAGTCTTATTTTTCTTTCTCCTAAAGCTGTGTGTTCTTTGTGCTCCTGGTACCTTGTAGATGTTTACTTACACTTTTGGCCTGTCAGATTTTTGACTGATTTATTGGAAGGAAGGAGAAGGAAAGGATGAAGAAATGATCACTGTCAAGATATTTAAACAAGTTTTCTTTGAACCCTCTTTAGGGTAGGTAAACATTATGTTGAAAAGAAGACTGGGTTGCTTGAATCACTTTAAACTGGAAAATATGAATGAAATTGTTAAAGTGCCCTGCTAAGTAAGAGATGGCCAGTAGATACTAATTTTCAGACTTTTTAGGTTTGGTCATTATGTGCCCCCCCTTCAGTTCCTCTAACAAAACAAGATGATTCTGTTAAGTGGGTTTGCTTTTTCTTTCTCCTTTTCCCCAACATTAAATGGAACACACATGTGGCTCCTTGTTTATGTTGATGGGCAAAGGAAGCCATTGCTGCCCAGCAGGGTTTTCAGCTAGTTATTAGAGATTTGCTGTTCGATGGGGCCTGCTGTTTATAGGCAGGAAACGTCCTGACTGAGTTTGCTACTACTGTAGAGTTCATGTCTCAGGATTGGTTGTCTGAATGACCCGAGCTCCCGGAAGTGACCAGTGGTAACCTAGACTTGGAGGGTTGGGAGTAGAGTCCTGTCCTTTTGTTTTTCGTTTTTCGCCCATACTGGCTAGAAAAGGTCCTCAATAAGTACTGTGGAAGGCTGAAGCGAGTGAATGAGTGGCCACCCTCCACTGGTTGTCGGGTGCTGAAATTTAAGGTTTCCTTTTGAGGTCAGCTTTGCAACGTTCCAGTCATCAGTGACTTGTTTTATTTAACAGACCCTAATATGGGCACATACTAGACAGTCTTCTAAGCACTTTACAGATACTAACTCATTTAGTCCTACTAGGTTGGTACTGTTGCGATCTTATTTTACACAGGAGGAAACTGAGGCTTTGTCACTCGGCTAGTGAGTGGCAGAGCCAATGTCCAACCATAATGGTCTGGCTCCAGTCACACCCTCAGGCTTTACACTGATGGTCTGTCTGGTTTATTTCACACTTGCTCTATAGTTACCATTTATCTGTCAATAAATACTTCCTGCCTACAAGTGTGTAGAAAGACTTAAAAATTTTTTTCATGTATTGATTGTTTTTTAAGGAGAGAAAAACATTGATTTGTTGTTCCACTTATTTGTGCACTCCTTGGTAGTCTTGTATGTGCCCTGACTGGGGATGGAACCCGCAACCTTGGAGTATCTGGACGACACTCTAACCAGCTGAGTACCCAGCCAGGGCTAGAAAGAATTATTATTTTTTTAACATTAAATTCTTTAACAAATAATTCCTGTAAAAGTTGATGTTTTACTTGCTAAGAGGAGTCAGAGGGAAAAGTCATCTCCTTTGGCCCTAAGAATGAGGACTGCTGAAGATAGTTCCCTTGGATTAATTTTATATGCAGATTATTTTTTGCGGGGGAGAAAGCACCATAGAGGCAAGACTATTATGCAAATTGACACTGCAGCAAGAGCTTCTACAGAAGTGCTTTTGGAAGGAAGTTGTAGCAGCCACTCAGCTAAGTGCCCTGCTTGGAGGGGTTGTGGGCTCCCTGCTGAGATATAGCTCCGGCTCAGCTCATCAGCCTGGTGCCCCTTCTGGCACAGCCCAGGAGGGACATTGTGGCAGAGCTACTGGAGAGCAATGTGGTTTATAGGCCTTTTGGGTTGGGGGGACATAATGGAGGGTCACTTTTCCCAGACCTGGCTAGTTCTCAAAGGTGTTCTGTGCCTCTTTACACTGTAGACTAGTTTTCAAGTATTTTCAACTTGATAGGTTCATTTAAACACTGATATTAGATTATATAGTTTAAAAAAGTTATTGTAGGCTAGACCACCTTAATTTTAGTGTCATTAAATATATATTTTTCAGTTGCTTAAGAGTAAAGGTTGATATAAATTGTTTGTATTAAATGTAGCTTTATAGGTTTATGTCATCATGGAAACTTGTTTTTTGAGCTTTTCCCACTATAAATGCAAGTTAGAGTATTGCTAGTTACATATCAGGGATTACATTTGTTGACTGTCTACAATGTGTTAGGCTAGCTTATATTAATTATATTTTTCATTTAATTTTTACATTACTTCTGTGAGTATTACTGGACCCACATTGGGGGATAATCAAATTGAAGCTCAGAGAGGTTAAGTAATTTGTTCCCAGTCACACAGCTAAGTAAGTGCAGAGCTGAGATGCAAACCCAGGCCATTCTGACTCCCAAACCCCTTACTCTTTCTACTGCAGTATAGTCAACAGCTTCCTATAGAAGAAACCAAATTAGAAAAGATTTTGTAAAGATCCTTCCTCCCCCTTCCCACTGAGTAGAGAGATTTAAGCCTCGGGTTTACATTGCTAGGCTAAGTGTGATTATGAGCTAATGTTTTTATAGTTTATGCCCACATCATGTCAAAAATCTTTTCCAGGTTCTCATATTTCCTCTAGGATTTGCCACATGTTAGCAATAAAGAAGATGGCTAATTGTGTTTCTTTATTCTTTCTTTGTTTAGGATGTGATAGGCCAGGTTCTGCCTGAAGCAACAACCACAGCATTTGAATGTAAGTCTGGCTTGTATACTTTCTTGACTGCTTCCCTTCTGCAGTAATTTTTCAAAGGGTTTATGGGTTGCATTACTTTAGAAACTGACAAAAACAGATTATTTATGATCATCATATGGTACATTTAAATATTTATAAATTAATGCAAGTTTAATGATGATACTCGACTGAGTAATATTTTCTTATTTAATCATATCTTGGGTGTGCATATTTCTATAATATAGCTTTAATTACCAACATGACCTTTATCTGCTCTTGCGCTTCACTGTAATAATATTGTGGGGTAAAATGAAACCTGTAAACTACCTGTAGGCCAATGATTATTGATTAAGAGGTTTTAATCCATTGCTGCTTTGTAACAGCAACAGAGTGGAGCTTTTAAGTGAACATTGAACGGAATAATTCTGTTTCAGTGGGGTTTGGCGAGGCTGCTAGATGATGTTAGCAACACTCCAGCCCTTGGGTCTCTTCTCCCACCACCCTCCACACCAAACCAGTTGGCCTAGGGGTTGGGGGCAGGGGCAGGGGGCAGGGGACTAGAAAACTGGTTTGGACATGAGCCAGGTCATTGCAAAAAGGTCAGAATCTGAGTAATGTTGAGAAGGATAATGGATTATAACTGTAGTTCCTGTCTTTTTTTGAAGATGAGGGCTGCTTTCCATATGGAAAAAATGTACAGTTTCTCCACACTATAGTGTACTTTTTGTTCTTATGTTTTAAGCAGATGGTTAATGACAAAGAGTACATTGTCCTCTGATTCATTTATGTTCTTTTTGGAGGACAATTTGGCAGTACTTACCAAAATATAAAATGTGTAAAACCTTTGACTTAGCAGATCCACTTTTAGGAAGCTGTCCAACAGAAAGACCTAGACATATGTTGAATGCCCTTTAAACAAAGTGTTCATTGTGGAATTTATGTATGTATGTATGTATGTATGTATGTATTAAAATCCTCACCCGAGGATATGTCTGTTGATTTGCAGGGGTGGGGGAGAAAAACATAGATGTGACAGAGAAATCGATTGGTTGCCCCCCATATGCACCCCGACCAAGGACAGAACCCACAGCCTTTTGGTGTTGCTGCGATTAAGTGAGCCACATGGCCAGGGCTGGAATTATTTTTAATAGCAAAAAATTAAAAGTAAGCAAAATGCCTAAAATAATAGATTAATAAATTATTTATCCATAATTTGAATCATCAAGCAGCGGCTATAAAGAACGAGTTAAGATTTTATACATTGACATGGAAAGGTTTATGATATATTATTGAATAAACAAATAATACATGTGATATGATCCCATTTTGTGAAAAAGCTTATCCCTCCTCCTCCCAGCCTCATGAGTGTACTGAGAGACAAGGACGTGGCGTTGCCCACAACAGTGCTTCCAGTCGTCTCCGCTAGAGAGGTGACCTGGAGGCTGCTGTGGGGGAAGGGTTGGCTGAATGAGCATACTTTCTACTTTATGTATTTCTCTATTGTTTGAATATGTTCCAGTAATTACTACATGTTTTTAAAGGCTACTTGAATAGAACTCTTAAAATAATTACTATTTTATTAGCCACACTGGAATCTGCAGACTTCTGAAAAATAGCACATATATCTGAAATGCATGTTGGTATCACAAGCACTTTATACCCCTTACAGTCGCTCCGTGGGGGCGCCAGGGATTTCACGGACAGTGCAGTAGTTAACATTTGGAGTACTTACTGTTGCCAGATGCTGCACTGAGAGCATTCCATGGGTTATCTCATTTCATTTAACCTTCACAAGATCCCCATGAAGTATTAATACTTCGGCAGACTGTTATTGGCCCTGTTTTAGTTGAGGAAAGGACATCTCTAAGCAGCCTGCTCAGAGCCTTACAGCTAGTAAATGGTAAAGCGGAATTTCAGAAGTAGACTCCAGAGCATGAACATATATATATAAAAGTATTTTTCAACCACTACTGAGACTTGTTTTCAGAGTTGTCGTAATTTTTGAAATCATGTGTTCTGATTGTTCTTAGTGTGGCAGGAAAGAAGCTTTGTATTTTCTACTTCTTGCTTTCTGGGTCCCCCAAAGTGGCTCAACATACCTGTGCCCCACACAGGCTTCCAAAGTTAGGTTCAGAGTAGTAACCCTGATTACCTTAACTGTCATGTACTGATGGCCTCTCTGTGCCAGTCAGTGTGCCGCGGGATGTACTTGGATTGTTGCTCATCTTTACTGCAGCTCTGTGAGGCAGGGAAACTATACCCGGGAGGGAACGGAAGCACTGAGACATGCAGCGGTTGCCAAAGTTGATCGGCTGGGAGTGTGGAGCCCCGATTCAGACGCAGTTCTTTGTGAACGTCAGACCTGTGCTCTTTGTAACCACGCACGTTGCAAGCCTGAGAGGTGTGTCCAGTGTGTTTTATGTGGTTTATGAGTATGATAGAACAACTTTTGAAAAATTAAACTTTGATCAAAGAAGTATTTATGGTATTATAATTAGTATTGAAAAGTATACCTAGCTCTGGTAGAAAAAAAAAACCCACTTAATTTTCTAGGTTTAAGTTCTTAGACATCTCTTTCCTTTCTTTCTCCAACACAGCCGCAGCTCTGTACCCATCTTCATTTGGACCAGTGTTCGGTGAAAACAAAAGCAAAAACAAAAATGTACACAGACAAAAATAATAGAGACTTTTGTGCTTAGATTATTGCGTGCTTTCCATGATAGACTTAAAATCCTAAACTGATTTTTTTCACGATTGTTCTTAGTGACCTTATTTTCTGAAACAAAAATCTGAACTAGTAAGTGGAATCTATGTAGAACAGTTGGAAAGATGTAGTTTGTAAGCTAATTTATGATATTGAGCTGTTTTGGTGGTTTATGGGTATTATAGAACAACTCTTGAATACATAAAACTTTAATCAAAGACATATTTGTGGTAGTATATTTATTAATGAAAGGTATACCTAGCACCAGTTGATTTCTTATACAAAACAGATGGTATTGCATTTAGTTATATGAATGTAGCAACAGGAGAAAGGGCAGGCACTGTCAAATTGACCAGTAGTACATAAATGTAGAGAAAAGGATTTGAGGAAGTGGAAAAGAGGGAAAAGTTCAGGTAATCATACAGATTCTTCAGCTCTGAGAAATGCCACCTCTTTGGTGAAATCTCTGGTCCTTTAGATGTGGTCGATTTCTCAGTGTACCTTTATGGGAGCAGGTTGCCCTTTGGTCCTGCCTCCTGGTTGGTTGAATGTCTTTCCGTTTCCTCACTAGATTTTCAATGACTTGCTAACAGGGACCATGTTTTATTTCACTCTTGCTCTCTTCTTAGTACTTAGCTTAGTTCCTTATAGAAAGCCCCTTGTTGAAAAAAATGCAATGTTTTATGTCTGTATTCAAATGGAATTATAAAATGCATGTGACCTAAAGCCAAGTCATTTGCTTTTTCGGAATCTGTGTGCTGTTGCCCAAGCACAGGATATAATTGGTTGGTGGTGGACAACTCCTGCTCCAAATTCAAACTCCCACAGGTGACTGGGCCCCATATCCTGAGAGGACTGAGGGTCCGCAGTGGCTGTGCTCTTTCTGGCTTCTGTCCCTGGGGTTGGCATTTCTGAGGCGGGCTGGGCTGGCTGAGGGGAGGGAGGCCCATTTGTGCTGAATTTACCTCTCAGACTGATGGCCCTAAACCTCTCTTTCTTCTTACTCCTTCCTTTTTTCTTTCTTATGAGAACACAAATGAAAGTACTTTCAACAGCTAAGTGTTTGACTTTTTTTAATTAAGAAGATATAGATGATCTTTAAAAACATTCAAATAGCATAGAGCAAAGGAAAATGTAAAAGCCCTCATTTCCCCTGAGTCGCTAGTTAACAGTTTCTTCTGTATCTCTACGGAAGTCTTCTCTGTGCATGTTGTGTGCTGTACTGGAGCTGGTTTCTCCTGCCCGCGCTCCACACTGCACGTCGGGCCTCTTGCCAGCATCGGGTACACAGCTCCGTTCTTTTGGATGGCTGCATCATACTTAATTTTATCTGTCTTAATCGATTTCACCTATCGATGGGCCCTTTTTCAGTTTGTTACTGGTAATTTAGTATGAGAAAAAAATGCTGCAGCCAGCAGCATTGTTTTGTATCTTTTCCACATTGTGGGAATATACTGGTGGGGTAAATCCCTAGGGGCTGTAACTACTGAGTCAAAGAGTATCCATATTTTACATATTACCGTACTTTGCCATGTATAATACGAAAATTTTTGCCCAAATTTTTGAGGGAAAAATAAGGATGTGCATTATATGTGTGTATAATGATTACATACCCTGGGTATAATAAAGAGGTATAACAATCCAGTGTATAATGCACACAAAAACATAGGTGCACGTTATATACAGCAAAATATGGTAATAGCTATTACCATGTTGCTGTCAAAAAGGTAGAACCAATTTACACTCCTAGCAGAAATGTTCAAGAACGACCATTTCTCTCTACCCTGACCAACTCAGTGTTAGCAAACTTTTTAGTCAATGTCAATTCGATAGGTGAAAAACATTAATTATTGTTTTATTTTGTATTTCTTCGATCATAAATGAGGCTGAGCATTTTTTCATTTGTAGTTTGGTCATTTGTATTTAATTTCTGTGAACGTTACCTTTGCCAATTTTTCTATTAGGTTATTTGTCTTTTTCTGATTTAAAAGCATTCCAATATTAAGAAAATTGGCCCTTTTTCTTGTATGTTACAGATATTTTTGTAGTTTATTTCTTTGAGCTGGTTTTGGTCTTTTTTTTTTTTCCTCTTCTTTTTTTTCTGTGGAGAAGGTTAGCATTTTTAAATGGTCAGGTTTATCACACTTCCCATTGTGACTTCTAGATTTATGTCAAGCCTAGAAATGTCTTCCATATTCCAGGACTCTGAAAAACATTCATCCATATTTTCTCCCTACTTTAATGGGGTCAAGGACAAACACACACGTAAGTTCATACGTATATTAGTGTTGGGTTTTTTTTAACAGAATGCATTTCC